GACACAGAGGCCATTAATTGTGTTTCATCTGAATACATATTTATTAGATAAATATTAGGATGTCACATCATCTAACTACATACAGATTTGCAAGACTAAAAATCACAATGTTTTTCTGACCAGTTTAGAATATGAAATGATTGTACATAGAATGTACAAAACCAAAGAGACAACTGCCACCTGTTGTGCCAATCACTTCAGATTGTACCTCATAGCATATTTTGCCAAATTGCATAAAAATTATAAATTTGACAAAAATCTTTTTTACAAACTGTAAATTTGGAAACAACCCTTTAAGAGCCACTCAAAGCTCCATGTCTCCAAGTCCCAATTATACCTCAAAAGGTTTTAATAATTTTGTAGCACCTTTATAAAGTACACAGGTAATAGAGAAATACACAGACGTTTTAATATTACACAAAAGAAAATTGTCTTGATTTTTTTTTCTTGGAAACCCCACGTGAAGGGGCACATAAAGTATCTTACATAAATGAACAGGCGTGGTTAGAGAGGTCCGCACAGACGCAATCAAACACATTTTCCCAATTCAATGTCTGACAGGAGGATGCAAGCTTTACAAATTCTAAATACACTATGCACACTCCCCCTGGAGAAAATGAATACATTTCTGTTAACGTGTCTCTATTTGTCATTTACAGTATATACACGTGTCCCTTACGACCCTCAGCCACAACCTCTTCCTCGTGATGCGAACGGGAGAAGGGCCTCCCTCAAATTTTCACTTCACAATATTAATCCTCAGCTCAGTTTCCAGCGGCTGCGATCGGACAGTACGATTTGTGTCGCTCAGATTAGGTACATGTGATTTTTGTGAGAGGTTACAGTTACACACTGTGTAGGCAAATAAAACATCTTCGTCTGCGACAAACATAGAAACAAACAACATCTGATCCCTCGACTGTGAAACCTGGTGATTCTATCGACTGATGATCCAGTGAAGCCCAATCAGGTCCTTCAAATATCAAACGGGGCAAATTTCACCCACCAGCATGTTTTAAAATTCACTGATGGTACTGCATTAAACTGTGTAAACCAAATTATATCATAGAAAAAACATTGGACAAAAATAATAACTTAAACCTCCAAACAATATAAAATGTGATGAAAATCATAGTCACACTTTTTTGCTATGGTTATCAAAAGCTCATTATCAGGCCTCCAAACAATCAGTTTGCACATTCTCACTTTAAATAAAGGACGAGGTCACTTGTGCTAATAACAATAATATTAAATCATATTTGGAGAATTTTGGAACTCAAGGCTGCAGAATTTTAGACAAAAAAACCCCCTGCTCATTTATATACACATACATGTATGAAATAAAACTAAAATTAATCACAACTTTCTTGCAGAATTATTCAAAAATTCCTTTTTTTGCTGATGCTTTGTCACAGGGTAGTGGGAAAAAACTACACAATACACAGGGGACAAGGCCAGTGAGAGTGCATTTGGATCAATCGGATACAATATTAGTTATAAGGGATTCTGTGTGTGTGTGTGTGTCTGTGAGTGTGTGTAGTACTGGACAGACATACAGTACCATGTAGTTGCAGTAATAGATTAGGTACAGCACTGTACAGTACTCACAAAGGGAGTATTCACAAATGGTATTTACAACAGCTCTGGAAACACTGTTGGATCATGCAGAATGTTTTTCCCCAATAAGATGTGAAAAGAAAAGAAATAAACAGGAAGCTCGGTACAATCACGCAGACGTTTGTATAAAACACAGCGATTTAAAAGGATCTGCAGGATGTCGAAACCATGACGAAAAACTTTGGTGACGTGTGTCTGATTCATGTCAACGTGGGACAAAACGTAAAACACAGTTTAGAAAAAGGACAACAGCTAAAAAACAAAATAAAATAATAAATATCAAGTCGTGAGCAAAAATGATTTGATCAAGCACGTTTGGGCTGGACTAAGACAACAGGAGCTGTTGGCACACATGCACTTGAGAACAAAACGATGCAGGGTTCGGAGAGGACAAGCGAAAACGTTACAACGGCTACAGACTGGGTGGAGAGAGTCGATGTTTCTCTTCCCTCCCTCGTCTCAAACTTTCTCTCCCCGCCGTCTTTCACAAACGCTCACATGCAAACAAAAGGGAAGACATAAAACACACACACACACAGAAATATGTGTACACACAACGACACACTCACACACACAACGTTGCACAGTGCGCACTTTTTTCCTCTGTTGACACAGGAAGACATTTAAGCTCATCCTTTCAGTGCTGGGATTGTGATGAGTTCCAGTTATTCATCTTGCACTCTCTCTCACTTTCTCTCTCACTTTCTCTCTCACACTCTCTCTCACTTTCTCTCTCACACTCTCTCTCACACACACACACACACACACCCACACCCACCCACCCACCCACCCACCCACCCACACACACACACACACACACACACACACAGGAAAGTCTGGGGGGGTCAAAGGGCATGGCATGTGCCAAAGTTTTGGAAGAACACATTTCAAACAGGTTAAAAACACTCTTACAAGACAATGTTTTTCCCATGGACTTTTCTTTTTTTTCACAAAAGGAAAGTTATAATTTAAAAAAAAAAAAAAAAAAAAATTTTAAAACAAAGCTACAACACTTTTCCTGAAGCCCACAAAGGCTCCGCTCTCCTCTGTGTTGTCACACGAGACGATTATAGCTGCACAGTTTTCAGTTGAAAAGTCACAAATATCATATATATGTATATATATAATATCATTTTAGTGCCCGCCAAAACATGGCTGTAAATGGTGTGTGTTTCGAGTCAGAGGCGATGGAACTGGTGCGTGGAATCTTTACAGGAGGAACAAAAAACAGAGGGGGGGGGGGGCTCGGAGATGAGCGGCGTTCCTGCGTTCTCCGTTAGGAGTTCCCAAAACAGGTGCCTCTTTTCTTCAGTCGGACTCCCCTCCCACACTGTCACTGTGTGTGTCTTTGTGTGTGTGTGTGTGTGTGTGTGTGTGTGTGAGCATCGGAAGCTGCTTGAAGTGTCTTTTTGGAGGAGGGGGGGTGAAGTGTCTGTGGACGGACAGTCAAACACGTCACCGCTCTTGTAGGCGAAGGAGCGTTCGTACTGGGAGGGGGAGGAGCTAGTTGTTCTCAAAGAGGGAGAGAAGGTCGTCGCTGCTGTTGGCGGGGAGGTCCGGGGGGTCCAGGTACGATAGCAACTCGTCCGGGTTCGCCAGCTCTGGAAGCAGCTGTGGATGAAGGGCAGAGAGAGAGGATGAGAGGCAAATCTACACAACCTGAAAACAAATGCAACTTTCTGACGCTTTGAATCATGTGTCTGTGGAAGTTACACATACACACAGACATCGCTGCTCTGAGAGTCAAACACAAACCAAGCACACAGCAAAGAGATGAGAGCAGCTGCAGCAGACGACGTTAGCTCGTAACACGCAGCTTATGACGCACAAAGCCGACACACTTACATCCAGAGAGGGTTCAGGCATATCCTGCGCTCCCTGACCCATCTGCCCATCTGCGGAGGGGTTAAAGTTCAGCTCGCCGTGGGGGTGACTGTTCTGCCCGGCCTGCTGAGGCAGTGGCGGTGGCTGAGGCTGCGACTGGCGATGCGGCTGCGAAGACGGGCCGCCGTGATGCAAGGGCTGCCCTGACTGGCCGCCGTGATGCAAGGGCGGCCCTGTTTGGCTGCCGGGGTGGGGAGACGCATGCAAGCTCTGCTGCATGGAGCTATGGGACTGATCGGGATGGGACATCTGGAAGGTGCGAGAGTGGGACGGAGGGAGGATGAAAAATAAGGAAGAGGAGGACGGAAGAAATAGCGAGAGAGAGAAAAAGAGAGCAGAGGGAGAGAGCGTGATGGGAGGAGGGACGAGGAAGGAGGTGTTGCGTGGGAAGAAGGAGAGGAAAAGCAAAATGAGTTCCAGCGTGAATAATATGGAACAGGCCCTCTAAATGGAAGCTGTGATCAGCAGACATGTACAGCTGCAACATTATACGGTGACATGAGCATGTGAGCATGACTGAGCACACATGCTGGCTAGAGGCACAGGCTGCACCTTGTTCACGTCCCAAATCTGAGCCTCTTTTTTCACTGGGGCACATTTTCTTCTACAAACTGAGGCAAACATTTAAGCTACAGGACAAAATGACTCAGCTGTCGATCAATAAACGCTATAATTAGTCCTAATTTCAACCAACTAGTTGTATAAGCATTTAACTATTTCTAAAACCTTTACTTACTGCATCGTTCATGCTGTGGCTCAGGGGCTTGTCCTGCGAGAGGAGGCCGCCATGTCCATCCGGGGGGTGTGAGAGCTGGGGGCCGTGGATGAAGTCATTCATAGGGGGACCACCTCCACCTCCTCCTGCAACTCCACCACCAGAGGAGTTCCCATGAGGGAAGTCAAAGTGCCCTTGGCTGTGGTAACTGTTGGCTGTAAGGATAAAAGCACAACATTTAGTTTTTTTGTCAAAAGGCTAACTGCAGTTTGGTCTCGTTGACGTCGTTGTTTCATGAATCATTGATTTACTTACAAAAAAAGTTATCTTTTCAAAGAAGTTACATAACAGGATACACACTTTTTTTAATGTTATGAAACATTTATCAGAGTGATGAGCTGACAACATTTTAAAACAGGTTCAGCATTAAAACTCTCCTTGAGGCTGTTTCTTTGTTTCAATGCACCAGAGACATATCAATGGCTCCTGTTGTAAAAATGCAAAAACAGTTTCCGACAACTGAGCTGAATATCCTGTTATTTATCAACGCAGCAGGATTCTGTCTGCTTTTTAGTACCTGCTCCTGGGTAATCTCCACCGTTCCCGCTCGCATGTTGACTAGGGTGTGGAGGGTAGGGACCGGGTCCAGGGCCAGGTCCAGGGCCGGGTCCAGGTCCGGGGCCGGGCCCTAGCTGGGCGATCATCTCCATCACATTGGGCATGGTCATCTGACTGGGGCTCATGGTCTTGAAGCGCTTGGTGAGCGGTCCGTCAGGGTCCTCTTTGATGTGAAGCTCGGACTTGATGGGGACAGGTCTCCAGCTACATGTTGGGTCTATAGTGACCTCTTCAAACTCTGAGCTGGGGGTGGAGACAAAACATTTTGTTGGTGAAATTATCTGAACGAGTTAAAGATGGATCCAGCTGGTAAAAGAGAAGAAACATACTTTTGTATGGCGTTGAGGATTCCCCACATGTACTGGTCCACCTCCAGACCTTCTAATAATGCTGTTTTACTGAAAAGAGACAAGAAATAATTAGATAAAATCTATAAGAGGCATTTTTTTACTCGTTATCCTAACTTCAAATCTAGACACATACTTGCACACAGGACACCGCCATGTCCCCCGCTCACAGTTGAGCTGTAAGTAGGACTCCAGATCAAAACACTGTGGAGAACAACATCACAACTTTAGAATTTACAGTGATGCACAATGCTGGTTTTCATAAAAAAAAAAAAAAAACCTTTTTAAATCGAAAACAGACCTGGACATGTTTGCAGTCGTGCCCTCGCGCCGGTAGCTGGATGCGTCGGAAGGTGATGGGACATTTCAACGACACTTTAATGGCCGTCTGCTCCACACCATCTTCCCCATTGAGAGTGGTGTTGCCTGCCGAGGCCGCCACACTGCTGAAGTTCCTCTTAACTGAACCAAAGAAGATGAGGCGTGAACATTTACACGGGCGCCTCAAGACATATTTTAAAGCAAGATGTAAAGAGAGACAGGTTTTGTGGCCGTGTAATTAAGATGTGCTTATGCATATTAACTACACAAAGAGAAAATGAGCCGTACCCTTGGTGATGCAGTGTTCTGCAGGAAGGAGCCTCTTCTTCAGGAGCCCCTGGAGGACGGAGCGCACAGATGGTCTGTGGACCAGCTGCAGCACAAACAGGTGGGACTGCAAAGCAACACGAGAAGATGAAAAAATGAATCCATCTTCTAACATCCAAGTCTAGTCCACACATCTACTGTATGTAGTAAAAATCTTCTGAGTGGATGTTTCAGAAAAAAATAATGACACTTTCTGTCCTGTTGGAAGTTTTCTGTCATGTTGAGCGTGTGCACTCACGCAGCAGCAGGCGGTGACTGTAATCTGGATGGTGTTTCTCCCAGGTTGGCATACGTGCTTCAGGTGCAGGGCTTTGTGGGAGGTTTTGTTGTCTCCCCGCTCAATGGTGAGAGGCGTGGCATTGACGCTGACCTGGACGGAGGCAGGCCAGTTGGTGTTCATCTGCCTGTCTTCGTGGTGGTAGCACTTAAACTGCAGCTCAAGGTCTGACCTGTAGGAGTAACAGGATGAGAGAGTCAGTGGTTAATAGCGATATTTTTAAAACAAAGAGTTTGCTAAAAAAATAAATAATAATATGTCTATAACATCAAGTCAGGGCACTTCTTCATGCATATAAAATAATTTTAAAAGTTAGCGATGAAAGATTCATTAGTCAAAAGTCAGGGTGGTGGGCCAACCTCCACATGAGGGTCTGGTGGACGGAGGGTCGAAGGTGGAAGACGTGGTTACTGACAGCCAGGTTGTGCTCAAGGCGGAACGGCTCTAGCACCACTCCATCCCTGACGGGGAATGTCAGCCGCAGCTCTTCGTTGGGGTTACCTGGAGGTCAGAGAAAAACAGGGGAGGTCAAGGTCTCACAGTGTTTCAGAAAAAATGCCGGAAATGGTCCAGTTGTTTCACTAGTGCTGGTGTACTCACTTGGAGGGGGCGGAAGTGCTGTCATATTTGGTTTCATGTCGGGTGGAAATGGGGGTTTCACATCCTGGTTTGGCGACAGGTACGGAGGAATGCTACTTCCTGGGGTCATGGGAGGTGTGGGGTTTCCAGGGACAGGAGAGTGGGGGTAGTTACCGGGCCTGGGAGGCTGTGAAAGGCAAGAAAGTACATAACGAAAATAACTGTATAAAAGCAACTCATTCATGACTGAACCAAAGATCTAAGCATGCTAGTTAACAAATGGAACTTGTTTTTGGGTATGATGTGAAAACATACCCCGTTTCCTTGACCGTAGGAGTAACCACCTCCAGAGAAGTTGGTGCTCTGACCATTGAAGGGCTCTTGCTGTAAAGGAATTTAATGATTTAATAATTTGATAGAGTTTTATTAGACATAAACCATTTAAGTTTCTCACAAAATTTGCCATAAGAAATTGGACAGATGGATGAATGGTGTGACACAACAGACCTTATAATACTGGGCCATGGGCATCCCAGGTGGGTACTGTCCCTGGCTCTGCTGCCCTGGCATCCTCTGGCTGGGGTAGTTAGGAGACGGCAGCGGCCTGGAGGCATTCGATGATGGGTACTGCCCCTGCTGTGGCGGGAACTGACTGTTTGGCCCGTATTGCTGAGCTGCGTAACTTGCCTGGAGAGTGGAAGTGAAAGAAATGTAAACACATATTTCAGGTGCTACAGACACAAATATCCAGGCCAATGCTTTACACTCACCTCCCCAGGATACGACCTCTTCATCCCCGGCAGGGGCACACCCTGTCGAGGTCCTCCAGGATACCCCTGCTGTGGCATCCTCTGGCCGTGAGCTCCAAAGGGCCCCATGCCTGGGGTTCGAGCCTGGTTCATGCCCATGGGAGGACCACTCATGTTGGGGTTGCTCATGGCTGATCCCATGCTGGCTGGATTCATGCCTCCAGGGGGCCCTCGTGGGCCTGGCTGGTTCATGAACTGGCTGTTGTAGGCCTGAGCGGGGCCCATTTGGAACGATGAACACATCTGGAGGCAAAACAGATGGTTTAAGCATTAAACATGATTGTTCTGTGTCCACAGCAGGTGGCTGGATGATAGGTTAATGTGTATATTTGTGTTTTACAGTCTCTTTTGGTAAATGTGTGCAGCTGTAGACATGTCAGCAGGTGTGTTTTGTACCTGTCCATACTGGTTCATATCTTTATTCTGGGTTTCCTGCAGAGCTGCTACCGTGGCTGTTGCTGTGGCCGTTGCCGTAGCAGCAGCCGCAGCGACAGCAGCTGCTGCAGCAGCGGCAGCTGGCTGCGTGAAGTCACCAGGAGGACGTGTGTGGGAGGTCATTCCCATACCTCCTGGAGGAGGGTTTGGGCCTCCGGAATAACTGTAAGAAAACAGATTACATTTTTGAATCATTATAGTAGATTGTATTGCTTGATTTATATATGAATTAAGACTATTATCGAGTGTCTCACCTTCCGCTGTATCCTCCAGGACCACCAGGGTAGCCAGGCCTGCCGTACATGCCCTGCTGCATGTACGCTTGGTTGGAGCCGACTTTGTTTGGGAACTGTTGCTGCTGAGCACTGAACTGAGGTGAGTTGAGTCCTGCTGCGCTGGCAGACATACCTGATCCCATAGGGTTCCCCCCAGGATTCATGGGGTTATTGCTGTTTACCATCGGGTTACCCAGCACCTGGATTTAACAAAGCATCATACAGAGAAAACAACATCCATTAGGTTTTTATACAAACAAAGAAGACAAACCTTGTGAGTCAAGCACTGACTGTGGATGCTGTTGTTGCACGGACATACCTGGCTCTGTGACGTATTGGTCACGCCCCACACCGTTGTCACCACTGACAGCGACCCAGGGGGCTGGTTGGTGTTTTGTTGCCAGGGGACAGAGTCATAGGGAAAGGATCCATCACTGGAAAGTAGATCAAAACACAAACATGAGCTTGGTGTCTCTTTAAGTTTCTATTTGGCCAGGAAAAGAGTCCAGAGAAAGCCACCAGGAGGCGAATATCCGTCCAAAAATGTGAATAATGTGAGAATTCTTCTTGCCAAAATGTTGGGCAATTTGACATGTTTGGCGTTCAGTTTGAAAGCGAGGATGTCTGCTGATGGCTGCACAGTGAGATAAGCTGACACGTGCCCACACTCACCAGTATAAGTTAATTATGATTAAATTATTTCTTTGTTAAAAATGTCTTTGGATATGAATCGGTAGAGTGCAAATGGAATGTGAAGTATTAACATCCAAAACAAATAACAGGGCAAAAATCTGACAGTTTCTAACATATAATAAACAAGCTCAGTCCTCATGGGGGGAGGCAAATGGCCAGTGGAGTGGGAGGGACTGCTGTTTTTGGAGAGCAGCTTGTTTTTGCTCATGAGGTTCACTTTTGGAATGGACGGCATGTTCAATATTTCCTCATAAAGGCAAAACATTATCCCAAGATCCTCAGCAGAGGCAAACAGGACTGTTGGCTAACTCCAGGGTTTCTTAGAGAGAGAGAGCGTGCGAGAGGTATGAGCACACAATGTTCTCCAAAAACTCACAGCTCACTTCCCTGTTGGCTCGTCCCACCAACCCCAAATCACAGCAGCTCCACTCAAAAAGACTTTCTGGCTCTTCTCCAAACTTCAGAAAATCCTCAGTGCCTTGGCGTGTGTGTTAAATAAGTCAAGATAATCCCCCAGCAAAGACTGAGCCACTACTGCACCTTAACTGAGTGAATATTAGGTTGTGGAGAAGGAATCATCTGAAACTATAGAGACAAAGAAAACATCTTGACCACTTTCTTTCCTATTTGCTCTATTGCCAAGCGGCACCACGTTTCACACATATATATCTTTTATTCATCGTGATCCGTGAATTTATTTATGAGAAATCGACAGAAATGTTGAGAAATATTTGCAATTTGTTTTTATCCTGTCTCTGCCCCCTGATCAAGATCCTAAATAAGTCTTCTTCCTTGTGTCATGTCCCAGCCTTCAATAAAACTCATGAATGTTTGCTGGAGCATCAATCCAGGGAACTCAGTATTAAGTATTATGATAATAATAATATTTAAATAAAAAGAAAGTAAATTAAAAGCATAAGATGTATCAGATGTTTGCTGCGTTCAGTTGGGAAACATAGGACACAGCATTATTAACCAAATTTTTTCCAATGAGGATGTATTATAACTCCAGGAAAAAGCAGAATCTCATCGGGGAGATGAAATGTAATTTTGACTGTAAGAAAAGCCCAGTCTTGGCTCATGTGACAGGAGATGTCTCGGAGACGCCCCACTGACCTGTGTGTGAGGCCGGGCTTCATGCTGCTCATGCTGGGCTGCATGGGGACTTTTCCCTGCGGTTCGTTCTGCCTGTTCTTCTGGTGACGCAGCAGGAGGAGACGACCCAGCTCCTCGCACCACGACGACAGCAGGGCTGCAAGGAAAACACACAGACACACACACATATGCACACGCATCAGTCTCTTCTCAGCAAACACACAAACACACACATATGGAAATGCACTGTGTACTTATGGTACATCATGTGCATGTTGAAGTTTCCATGTGCGAATGGTCACGTAGAAAACAACATCTCTATCTAGAATAGATTTGGGTCAGCGCAGTAAACTGAATTGTTTATTGTATCCAGAGCCATTCAGCCTGAGGTTACTGCTGAAGCCTCAAGGAGGCAGCCTAACTCAACAAACCTACATTGCTTATTTGAGTGTGGATTGCACAACAGTTACAGACCAGACCATCTCCTCCTGCAGTGAAAACCTGAGATCTATCACAGAGAGGGACAGACTGAAATGAAGCATGTCAGACAGACAGACACACAATGATACGGTTTAATGATAACAAGTGAGAAACTGTCCTGTCATTAATCTCCTCCTCTCAACACCACCACTTTATTCATCATTACACGTCCTCTCAAATCTCTCAGGACTGTGCAGCCTTCTCATCCTCTCAATAAAGACAAGGTTTAGATATTTCTTTCTGGTGCTAATGAGACTCCTGTTTATTTATTCCCCCCCCCCCCGGTGCCTTGTCTTTCTTAAATCAATCAGAGTTGTCTTATTCAAATAAATAGCAGGGAGTAGAAAGTTGTTTAGTCAAGCTTCAGTTTAAAAAAAACAAAGGTTATAGTGTTCAGACTTAATTAAATAATTTAAGATGCTATTTCTGGCTTTGTAGACCCAGATACACCAGATTTTTGGAAGCACTATATAGTTTGGGATAGTTATGCAGGTTTGGGATTTCAGGATGTGGAGTTTATGAAAAGGTTGAAAATCTTGCACAATGAATGATGAGGATTTAAAACCAAAAAAAACCCCAACAAATGTATGTGAGGAAAAAACATGGTTTAAGTGCCCCATCTATGACATGGACAATTTGATATATGACATGATGTGATGGAGCTAACAATGTCTTATATTATCTGAGTGAGGAATCGGATCTGACAAGTGTTTGTTTACCAAGCAAGTGAAAGAAAGAGGGGGGGAGAAAAAGAGGAGTGGTGACGTTTTCCTCTGGAGGGTGGAGAGCGCCAAGCCTCCTAGTTAAAGAGGAATTATTCCACCCTGCCATTACACAGAGCTTATCTCCCCACTAAATCACCACCTCCACACAGAGGGACTGTCTCCTCCACTGGCAACCCACCATTTAGACCTAAAGATCAGCTCCGAGCACAAGTGATGGAGTCAGTCGGAGGGAGGAAGAGGAAGAGGAAGAGAGAGGGAAGCAGACGATGGAAAGAGAGAGAGCGGTGGAGACTTTGTTGTATCAGTGCGGCCACAAGCCACTGAATCTAACAAGCTACCGAGGCAGAAGTCATTCATAATAGATTAGGGTACCCGCTCTGGGTATCGTGCAAATTTAGCAAGTTTACTACAGAGTGCGTGACCTTGTTTTCACCCCTGCCAACACCATCGCACACCTGCAACTACGCCGCCGCACTTCTCTCACTTCATCTCTTCAGTTCAGTGTGCGTAAATACCCTTCTCACAAACTGCACACACCCACATTCCTCTCAGTTCGTCTTATGTTTACAGTTGACAACTTAAATGCTTTGCTGATCCATCTGTCTATACTGTTATTGGGTTTTTTTGTAACTTCACCAATGGAATCCAGCCAACAAAAACATTTAACGCAAAAGCATGGACTCCATACATGGCCCCACCTCTCTCATCTTTCCATTTATTCCGGTTTAATTCACACTAAAGCTTTAACCTCCTTGACTTGGCTTCGACATCAGCAGCCTCCACAGTCACAGGGAAGGTCCACAACGCTTATTAAAACTATATGCAGACTGTAAAAAAAGATATATGAGCACGATATGTGATAGTGAGTGCAAAGTATATGAGCCAAATCCTCTGACTGTCTATGCTGAGGTTCATTTACAACATCATAAAACAACTTCCCTTCATGACGAGCAAATTCTCAAAGAGAAATTAGACCAGCTCTTCTAATCACATGCAGCAGGATCAATGGTTTTCTCGTGTCTCTGTGTGCAGTTTGAATGTTAAATGGTGAGATTAGCCTGACTTAGCCTAAACACTCGAGGATCAAGTAGCAGCTCATTCTGATAATGTGTTGACATGAGAGTTGACTGTTGTGTAAGAAAGTAGACGTGTTGCCCAATAGGTGCCAGCACTGAGGAGTAGGAGTTATCGGTGATCTACGTCATTTGTTTTTCTTCCTGATAACCTAGAAAATCCCCAAAATTAGATAGTAACTATAACTGAAGGAGCCTGTAAACACACAAATAACATTGGAGTCTTTAAAACGTAAAAGATGAAACTTCAGGTGTCGGAGTCTCACAATCCAAATAATATCAAAGGACCTGGTTTGATGCATTGTGAGACAGTGTGGGAGTTGTTGTCTTCACCATTATTACTCATGAAAATCTACCTGACGTGACTCAAATCATGCTCATGGATGAGAAAATGTATTAACGTTTCACTCATGTTACTCAGCAATTTTTTCATGTTTGGAGACAGTTAAAGAGAGCTACAGTTCATGAGAAGCTGCTGTTGATCCCGTAGAAATCCACTAACTGACTTTGTGTGGACTAATCTCACCTGTGAACTGCAAACAGAGGCACAATCATGACTGTGTGAGAGGAGAAATAACCTCAAATATACAGCTACAGCTCAGGGTGAGTAATGTCTACAGACTACAGTAACACTACAGCCTTGTTGTGTGAAGCTTCAGTGTTGTGGTGTTTTGGGACTCTCGCTAACAAGTGGTCTGCTCCGTCCTCTACCAGCAGAGCGGGGGCAGAAGTCACTGTAAGCTGATTTCACGACCTCTCCTGAACCCTCCGTGAGCAGCTCCATTTCTTAGAAGCTGTGGCTTTTTATGGAGCAATGCCCGGAGACATATGGGCCCTCCTCACTCGGGCTGTATTTACTGCTGTATGGCTGACTGATAGCAGGAGCCCTGGCTCGTTCTCACCTCACCTCCGCCCCTCTGGGAGCAGCAGGGAGGGAGAGAGAGCCATGGTAACAGGCTGAAAGGCCCATTAACTAATGACAGAGTGTGTGTACGAGTCCTCTTTTACAAGGAAACCCCAAAGCTAATTGCGATGAACTCTGACAGTGCCGCGTGTGTGCAAGCATCTGTGTGTGTGTGTCTGTGTGGTGCAAGCCTTCTGCTAGCGAGCATATCATTAGCCAGTTAAAATCGTGACAGACTGCCAACTATCTATTTCCAAATTTAATTCACTTATAGCTGCGCGATGGTGAACACACTGTTTATTAACACCTGATATTATTTACACGTGGAGACCACACATCCACCACACTGGTGCGTCACGTTCAGGGAGGTAACTGAGAAACCTTTGCAGAACTTCTGTGCACTTTTGCAAGGCAGATCAAACTCATCTCTTTCAGTGGAGATGCAAGTCAGCAGCAGATGTGAACCAGTGAACAAAACCTGTTTTATGACCACATAGAAAGGTGTAATTTTAGCTTTACCTAGCAACTGGTCTAAACCATAGACTGCAAGTCTCCACTTCCTCCTGCTATTCAGAAATGAAGCCATAATATTCAGAATATGGGTGCCAGTGACGCAAAAACTTCCTCCCACTGAAATAGAAATTTCAATTTTAATTTTCTCTTGCAACCAAAACTAAATATTCTAGCTAACAACAACCTCTGCGAGAAAAAGGCAGCGGAGCTCACCAAGCCAGGACAACATACGGGAACACAAATGTGGTTATACAGTATGCTTTGTGCACATTATGACAAAACTTAAACATAAGCGAATAAGTGAACTTTTCACATTGCGTAGATGTCATCTAGTGTTGTCCTGGGTAACATCATCTCACTTCACGTTGTTGCCATCTAGCAGAGTGACATATCACTGAGTCTCATCTCAGAGCCCTGGCTTGTTGGTGCAGACCTGACTATGAATCATGAGGGAAAGAGATGGAAAGGATGGAGATACAGGGTTACCACACTCAGATGTTGGTGGGAGACAGGGGCCTTTAAGACACGTTATAGATCCAATAGTAGCATTTACACTAGAAAGATGAAATGCTACAGTTCAAAGATAAAAAGAGAAGGAATGCACACTGGGGTGGTTTGCATGTAACTCAAAGTTAAAGCCAGGGGAGTTCAAAGAATGGGCACAAAAAAGAACAATGGCAATCTGTGGAGTTTCAGAAAACAGAGAATTAATGAGCTTCCAAAATTTAAAAAATATGGTCTCAAGCACAAAGATGTTTTTAGATACTTGCTATTTAGAGACTTTACATTTGAGATAAGATCAGAACCAGATGAAGCTTTAAATAATAAGATTGTGGATGGAAACAAGCAGAGGGGGTCTCTGCTTTTGAACAAGCCTTTGGAACAAAGCGGGAGGGAGTCAACACTCCACATTAAAGCAAAATGAGAAGCAAGAGTTTAAAAGCAAGGAATGGTCTGAAATGTGTGAGGCACAAACACGTACACATGTACATCCACGAATCCACTATTATTCTGCTGGAAGAATTCAACATGAATTTTTTTAATAAACACCCAAAATAAAAAGCAGGTGATTTGCTGCAACAACAACGCGGCTGGGGGCTGTGTGGGAGCATGTGAGGCTGCACACAGTTTCTAGAGCTGCACAGAAATATGACTAAACAGGGAAAATGTTAAAACCATTGTTGTAGAAAAACTTTTTCAGGAAATACCGAACACCTGCCCGGTGATGTATCATGTTGTGATGAGAGAGGATGTATATTTGACTAAGGACTAAATTCTCAAAAACAGCGACAGTGTCTGGAAATGGTCAATAGCATTTTAGTTACAAAGAAGTTGACATTCCCTCTGAGAATGGATAAAAAGAACTGGAAAAAATGGAACATGGATATGAGACACCCACTAAATGAATAGATAACTGAATCTAATCTGTATGAATGTTGAAATATCTCCACACAACTATATCTTTATCTTTTATGTTTGTAGACATTTTACATTATTTTTTAAAAACTGGTGAGACTGACTCGGGATTGGTCGAGTGTGTGCATCGTTGTGACCTCGCTACCGCAGCTCCATCCACTTACTGCCACTGCGCAAACACTAGCACTAAACAAGGTCTTCTGTACAAGATGGCAGCGTTTGTGTGATTTGGTTTAATTTCTGGATAGTGGGTGGAAGTGGAGACGCATCGTCCATCTTTGTATACAGTCTATGGTGCAATCTGGCTGTTCTGCCATATTCTGTATCAACACTGGTCACGCAAGGCTCTGATAGAGACATGGTGCATGCAGCTCTACCTGAGTTTTGTTGATCATAACACACTCAAAAGAGAATCAACTACACGTTCTGAGCATGAAAACTGTAGCACTGGACACAGAAGCCTTCTGAGACAATGTGTGGGATGATAAAAAAAAGAAGCAATTTACAATAGATATCAAAGACGGAGGACGGTAAAACGCTGGCAGGTAGGTTTGTGCTCTGTGGGTACAAATTATTATGCAAAAGACAAATATGGATGGGATATAAAACCCTGTGAAATAAAAAAAAGTCATGCTTTTTGCAGAAGTGTAATGAAAGCCATTTAAGCAGTCGATGATATCCCCCATCCTGCCCCCTTTCTGTTCAGCAAACTTCTTCCAGGAGAAGAGCATATCAAATGGGCTTTAGTCTCAACAGCTTGGAGGCAGAACAACTCAAACATGCCCTGCAGAGAGACAGCTCTGTGTCAGAAATCACACTCAACCAAAAACAGGCCTTTAATGTGAGACAGCCTGCAAATTAAAATCACTTGTTTTGAGTCTTTTTTTTTTTTAGATTTCATCTGACTTTTCTAATTTTCTATAATTTTGTTTTGTCTTCTCATCTGCTTGGTTTGACAGAATTGCATCCGCATCCTCTGGCAGTGCACCAGACATGGGGACGTGGGGGGGGGAGAGAGAGGATGGATGGAAGGATGCGAGACAGAGGATAGAGATGGAGATGGAAGGAGAGGGCCAACCCCCTGCCCCTCCCCATGAGGATGTGTGTGGGTCACAAGCCAGAGAGATGGTGCAGCCCAGAAGTTGAGGGTATAGCTCTACCTGAGTCACTCTGACATCTCCTGCAGGTGCTGGTTTCTGTGGGGGTTCAAATTGCACATTTTTAAACGGGGCAGAGTTATTGAGAATCAGCATGAACACCAAACATGATGCAGAACGACGGACGGCTACATCTGGCTGAAAATGCAAAATGTCGGCGCTCTGGGAGGAAATGTGCACATGTGGCCACAAGAGAAACAAACAAAACAACAAACTCAATCTCAATCACTACAGAGATTAACATTTCTTAGCATTGTATTTATAGCAGCTGGAAATGCTCATTCTCAGTAGTCAGATACTCTCAGTTCATGTGCTGTTATATAAGGGGTCAAGGACAACAAAGGATGAGCATTAGGATGCTAAGCTCATTTCCTTTGTATTTTATTTAATGTCCGTTTCCAAAACCGGTCTTTTATGTTTTCCCAAACTTATTTATCTGGGAAAGCACTTTTAAATCTTAAACTGCTTCCTCTGTTCACCACTTAATGTTACATTTTTTGTATCCTGTATCGAGTGACATTACCCTGCACTGCAGATTTGCTTCGGGTACATTTGCTATGACAGGAGTTACAGCACCTATGGATTTGACCTACTTCTCAGCTTGAGTCTGAATTTCAGGTGACCGATGTGTCTGCGTCAGACGCTCTGTGAGTCAATGCGCCCTGCTTACAGTGCTAAGCCTGCAGGGGTCACAACCTTCCATATGTGTATAGGAGAGCTGTCACAGCGCTCACAATGATCCTACATACGATCACACGGCCATTATGCACATCTTAGTCACACAGCAAATAGGCACAGCTGCGCTTAAATGCATGTAAAGGTAAACAGGGAAACAAACAGGTATGTGGACACAAGCATGTGTTGGGGAAAAAAAAGAAAAGCAAAGTAATAAATAAGGACACTGAGGTCTGTGTCAGCAAGTAAACAAGTCGGCGTCTTGGCTTTGTGAAGATGTGCTTATACAGTAAAGCACTTCACAAGACGGCAAAGGGAGAAACATCGGAGAACGGCGAGCTGTGAATGAACTGCTCTTATCTGCAGTGCACAGCTCCGTGCCACTTCAGGGGGACTAGTAAATATCACATAGCCTAATTATAACGAGACATGCTATTTGTCTCAACTTCCACAATGTCTCTTTTCATCTCGCACTGTCGTTCCTTCAATGAAATCACCAGGGTGAAAAACATAATCAAGAATTCAGAGGGGTTTAAGAAATACGATTTCCTGTTTTTTTTTTTATTTTATGATATAAAGACAGCGATTTAAAAAGTGATGGCTGTGGTGCAGGTGATTTAGATAAAAGGAATCATTTCTAGAGAAGAGGCCACGCGAAGATGTCAAAACATTTTGACTGACGTGCAGAATAGACATGGAAGTGATTAACACGGCAAAACACTTTTTATGAGTGTTTTCTAAAACACATCCTGTATCGCCCGGGGCGCAAAGAGCTCCACCCTCACTGCTAACAATACTTGACATCAGTTTGTCCACAGAGAAATTCTGCTCTCAATTCTCAAAGCGACAAATCTAATACAGCTACGCTCGGACACTCGCTCTCATTCAGAGGGGGGAAGGATGACAAGCATGGCAATGATTCACAGGAAAGAGAAAAAAGCAGAAACAAAGTGCAGAAACAGACGCACGCCACACACGTACAGTTCAGAGTCAAATGCCATGAATGAGTCACTGAACTGCCTGATGGGAAGTACTCCAAGTGAAGTCACAGGAGGTCACAGAACTGTGTAAAGTAAGCAATACAAAAGAGAGCGTTGGGAGCCAGAGAGAAAGGAGAAAGGTTACAGCGGCTGCGTGTGGCTGTGAGATTGAGGATGCAGATGGTTCGGGCGGTTAACACCCTGCCCAGGCGAACAGGAAGTGCTGCAGTTCGCTGGAAGCCATGTTTCTCTGTAGTATTTTCTGCTCTTGGTCAATGGAGGTTTCTGTGATTGTTTGCAACTGCACTTTCTAATGACGTGGTCAGTTTTAAGGTGGTTTTAATACTTTTAACAAAAAAAAAAAGGAGAGGCCTGTCTGTGCACTGATCTAACTGCATTGTCCTTCCATGACTACACTCACCCATCCTCCCCCATTCATCTCCTCTAATGACTGAGACAGGCAGACAGGCTCTGGGTCCAAGAGCTGGTCATCAACTTAAAAAAGAATCCACACTGGAAAAGTGGGTCATCTTCTCCAGACGTACAGATATAACTGCACATACACGTGCACTCTTAGCAGCAACGTGGATTCATGCTCCTTTCGACGTCATTAACTGGGGGAAGTTGTAGAATGTGCGATGGTGCCTCACCAGGCTTCATTCAACGACAACGGTGGAAATGTGTTTGCAGGTCATTTTCACATTTGCATATTTGCATAATGACAAACTAAATGTAAACTGACAAAACCAGCTTTGTTCTTCTTCCTTTGTGTGAGCTAAAGATTCATTTCACATTGTTTTCAGAAATTACTCCCTCAAAATAACTTAAATTAATATCAACCTAAACCTCAAAGTTAACCATTTCAATGCCTGGTCTTGATTAGAAACTGACGTTGTCCAATAGCCTATAGTTGCCTTTCACAGTCATATCGGTATCAGCTTTTATGTTTATATCAATTAGAAAACTTTTGTTTTTCAGGATAAAAAATGCATTTTAAGTAAAAACTAAAAATAATTCACGTTTTATATATTTCTTTGTATTTTATTTTATTTTATTCAAAGTTGTTTATGATAAAGTTTTTGGTTAAAACTTTTAAAAACCAGCCTAAATTTAATTTCTTTGTCATAAAGCTTTGATAACAATATCCTAAGAATTGTTTCCAATTTATTTCCCCCCCTAGTCTCGATAACCTATGTAAAGCTCATATTAATATGACAAAAAAAAGAATCAATGAGTCCTACTATGGATGTGTGCTTGTACACACTGCACACAGACAAAAAAACCCACTCAAAATAAGCCTATGAGAGAACAGCATGTAGGTCAACGTGTGGTCAGCTGATCTGTCCTGATCCTGTCTTGAGTGAGTGAGTGGTCAATGGCCGCAGCAAACCAGACAACACAGAAACCCATGTGGCCTAAATTACAGTTGATACAGACAGATAAGTTCTGAGTTTAATGTTTTAACTAATTTATATATAAAACTACTTACTGTATCATCATAGACCTGAATAAACTGTTGGGTTGACCTTCATTCACACCTGACTTCTCCCCATGCATTTATACACAATCAAATAGCAGAGATAAACAAATGGAAAACACACACACACACACACACACACACACACACACACACACACGGCATTGACTGACATCAATTTACTGAAGACGAAGTCAAACCTTCACCAGGTCTATACTTGTCAAACACGCTAAACCTAACCAGAACCCAGTGACTTGTTTTTTGCTCCCATTATGGAGACAAATACCCTTAAACTGACTGTGCAAACAAGATTTAGGTATCCACTACACGAGTTATACTGTAATACTTAGACCACACAAACACACACACACACACTCTCACACACTAATACTTACCCAGAGCCAAGCAAAGTCCCTGCACATCTCATCTCATTCCCTTCATAGTGCAGAGAAAAGACTCAAGTGTCACAAATGCTCCTGTTCCCGCAGAGGCCGGCGGCAACTCCTGAAGCTTTCCTTGCTTCCAAGGCTCCTGCCTGCACCTTATCACTCTCACTCCCTCCACGTATCCCTTACTCCGCTCACTCTTCTTTCTCCCTCACTTCCTCTCCCCTCTCCCGTCTTTCTCTCCCTTTTCCTTTTGCTCACTCTCATCCTCCTCCCTTTGCTCTCTGATCTGTCTTTTCCCCCTGTCCAGCGTCTGCACAATGCACATCAATTATTCAGAGGCAGTCTCCCGGTTTCTCCGGCTTATCCAATCAGAGCAGGGGCTCCGCACTAATGGGCTCCTGCTGTACCTGCTACCGGCTCCAACACACTCTCGAGACAGCGGGGGGATTGGGTGGGAGGGAGGGAGAGAGAAATAGACAGAGGGAGCGGAGGAGACAGCCAAGGAGGAGGCAGGATGAGGGGGAAGAGATAAAGACAGCGAGCTGACGCAGACAAACAGGAGCAGAGATATAGAGAGGGCAAGATATTCCAGTGCTTCTCACCTCAGCTGTGAGGTGCTGGTATTGATGGGTTCAGCTTAGTCTGTCTAGCGCTCCATTGCCCTGCTTTCTCTGAGCTGTGAGACAGTGCAACACACATTCACACATGCACGATCCAGCAATGCCACTGCCATTTGTCAGGGAGGGCACAAAAAAACAATAGAGGCAGAAAAAACAATCTGACAACTTCCACAAATGGGTGGAGCTTGATGTGCTATGTGCAGGCTGACTGGAAGCCGATGCATGAGAGAGGAAGTGGGAGAAAAAAATGTTAAGATCACATTTTCTGAAAAAGTTAGATAAGTTATCAGCTTCATCAGCGAGGGGGATTCCTCACTGCAGGACATCTAACCTGACAACGTTTCCCCCGTCTTCATCAGAGGCCACTTTGTAAAATCAAATTAACAAGACACACCAGAGACGAGCAGAATATTTGAGTGCAACTGAATTAAAGAGGAGACAGTTGGAGGGTGAATCTGAGTTCATCCTCTCTTCGTCTGCCTCTAACCTAAAACGGAGGAGAAAGACAACGCAGGGAAAGCTGTCATAATTCTGTCTATCCTCACCCAAATGTTGAGCTGAAGCCGAAGAGTGTGCGGGGGGGGAAACCACTGGCCTTGTGACAGCAGAGGCGGGGAAGTTGTCATTGACTGACAACGCTCAGTCATCGACAGCTTCACAAATATCCCACGCATATTTCAAACAGACACAACAGAGGCATTGTTGGGCAGGGAGAGAACATGAAAAGGGTGTGTCAGAAAGCCCCTGTGGGGAGGATGGGGGGAGGGCGACGGTGGTTGAGTCCTGAGGTGTGGGTTGCCAGATCAGTCAACCCTGAACAAAAGCAGGATTTAAAATCATTTGCTCACCCAGTTTTGACAAGAACAAAGTCTTCTGTGTTTGGAGAACAACTGCACTGCCGCCTCAGCTGGGACATCAGCGAACTGAATTTACTTGCAACTGTGCAAACCAAACCAATTAAGTAGTGGGTGATAAAGGACCCAATCAGCCAGAGACAACAAATGCACTGATCCTAATAAGCATCTCCCCCATGCACTTTATTTCTACAAACTTAGTAGTGAACTTCTGAGGGTAGTTTGGGGGGGGGGGGGGGGGGGGGTTGCAACGGGATTTCATCATCTAACGCAAACCACTGGAGAGTGTCAGAGGAGAGGCCTGCCTTCTAAAAATAAACCGCTGCTTCCTGTTAATTATTCAGCACGCTGCTCAGTAATTAAATATAAAAGTCTGTAAGGTTGATTGGGTCAGTAACAAAAAGGGATGCCATACACATTCCACTTTCCTCTGGTTCTACACACACAGCTCAAAGATGGAAGCAAGAGATGGGGGTGAGAAAATCAATCAGGTGAAAGTAAACTGAGACAGATAAGTGGACGGCATGTCAGACTGTTGTAGTGTGTGTGTGTACAGGCACTTACACACTGCAGGGATGAATCTACACATGGTCTGATGGGGGTTCTTATTTACAGCTGTTCATTCACTTGCACTGCTCCCTGAATTATGAAAGTTGTGGGTTGGTGAGGTAGTTTTCGTGAGCTGTGTGAGTGTGAGCGTGTGTGTGTACACTCATTCTTTAGGAACTTTTCCAGCATAAACACTGATTTAAGGCAGGACCAGTGGATATAATGAGGATCACAGACTGACCTAATGACCAAAAGTTCTTCTGGTTAAGTTTAGAGTAAGTCCACAGGATATCAAAACAAGTCAATGTAAAGTAATGAAGTCCTGGAGACACAACTGTATGTGTGTGTGTGTGTTTTACAGCACACAGGGTGAGTTACAGCCACACCCTGGAAGTTTTCTGTCATTGTTGACACAGCAGTGTGAATGTTTTTCCACATTTCAAACACTACTTTGCACTGTGTTGACTGACAGAGCTGTGACTCTCTCTTTTTTTACTGATGAAAGTGTGAGGGGGTGTGTGTGTGTGTGTGTGTGTGTGTGTGTGTGTGTGTGTGTGTGTGTGTGTGTGTGTGTGCGGTGTCAGTGGGGAATTTACCGACCCTCTAGAAACTATCTTTTCAATCATATTTCCCCAATTGTTTTTCAGCTGAAAAGTAAGAACCTGCTCTTACGTAGGAAAAACCCCACAACACAATTATCTCATGTAGATAAAGATGTTACCTGCTTTTTGAAACCACAACAACTATTCATCAGTCGAGCTTAACCTCCTGTATGGATTCCAACAACATGCCATGCCAGTGCACATTACTGAATTTTTATTTCTGAGTGAGACTGCAGGAGCAACAAGCCGCAACCTGCTTCTGACTTAAAACATTACAGTCGGGTTCTTAGAAAATAGTGCTCACTGCCAAGAAGCGGTTGCCTCTCATACAGAGTGCGTCAAGTCATGTTGAAACATAATACACTTTCAAAACTACCCTGAGATTTACTTTCATTTAATTAAAATGTGAAAAAAGAGGGCACGTCAACACGTAGAAGAGGTGAGAAAGAAGTGGAGAAGTTGTCAATGGTGATTTTGTGGGTTTATTCTCAGAGACAACAAGCTGTTGTGAACTTGATGGCAGATTCACTGAGGAAGGAAACTGTTAAACCCTCGGCAGATTATTCTACTAATCTGATTTGTTGTCTGATGAACACAGTAGCCAGAGAACTCAGAGTCTATCAGGGTTGTGTTGAGTGTTTGTGGGGCAGCGGCACACCTATTATCTAATGAACCTCTCAGCTGGAAGCCTGTGAGCACCAGACTACAGATTATTGGAAGGAAAAACATAAAACTCTAAGAAGATTCATGAACGGACGATAGATTTTAAAACACAGCATTTGGAGGAGAGGCTACACATAAATCTATTATCAGGAATATGCTCTAGAGTAAACTAAACACAACATTGTAAGTGTGCTAACAGCATTAATTCTGTGTATCCTCCCTGGCTCGGAGAGTTAACAGTGCTAATGCTAGTTCGCCTAACAGCAGATAAGTCTCTTCACTAGCTGATTCCAGATTAGAGCAGCAAACTAATCCTCCAGGCCTCACTGCAGGGTCACAATCTCCAGACAGCTCATCAGCAGCGGCCTGCTGTTGCTGAAAATCTCTGCACTTCACTCGACGAGTCTCACAGGATGGCAGCGTGCACTTTTAAAACAGGAGAAGTGCAAGTGTGGGCAGCGGCAGTTTTTTTCACGAGTTCTCGTTCTTGCAAAAAGTCATAAATACAAGATTTAACTGTAAATTTAATGTGGGAAATGTATCTGTAATGTATGTATATTAATTCTCCAGGAGCTTCTTTGGGGTCTTCAGAAAAAAAAGGTATTTTTAAATAAACATAAATCTGCTCATGTTCAACAAATGATTGAAATGAGTCACACATTACTTTATTTAAAGACTCACTAGTCACTTGCCACCTACGTTAGCTTGAGAGGATTTTGGATTTGTTGTAGTGAGTAAAACACACTTGATTGCTTTATCAATTTCCTCTTTAGATGATGCTCTGAAGGAAAGCGTCAGCGTGATTGATCCATAGACTTAAAGAGTCTGCCTCTTCCCCCAGAGGAGCCTGCAGAGAGCATCCCAGACTCCTCGGCCCTTATCTGGGCTCTCAGGTGTCAGATTTGCGGCCCTCTGTCGCCGCGCAGGCTGTCAGAAGATTGTGCTGTGGCTGCACTATTAAGACACACATTCATGCCTGCGCACACACAAAATGACAGGGAGGATACACAAATATGAGCATATGGGCGGAGATAACAGAGCAGTAAAGGCCTCTCTGTTGCTCTGTTGATGCATTTGAATGAGCATCTAGGGTTCAAGTGTGCTTCATGTCTCCTCTGTCGCCCTCATGTCTGCTTCCTCAGACAGACGTCCTTGCAAGGGAGGTAAGACGGATGCTCACTGAGCGAGACCCACCCTGAGTCACATCTGCCTCCCACCCCGACAGCCTGACTGCCTTTCTCATTTGATGACTGCCCGCATCGTATACCCCCTCCCTCCCTCCCTCCCTCCCTCAACTCCAACATGCATAATTACACCACATTTCCCATTTGTCCACGGTGCGTAAACAGCTCTTCCTTGAAACCCAGTTCTGTCTTCTATTAGATCCCAGAACCATCAGCGGCCCCTGCAGATGATTCTGACTGTCAGCCGGGCCCAGACGGCCAGCCAGCACGAGCCATGCCTGGACAACAATCACATTATCTCAACACAGGAACACAGACAGAGAGAGAAATACAGCAATCAATATTCTACACTGACGTCTGTCTGCCCACTTAAGTTCCTCCCAACAAGACACTTCCCACCACGACTGAAAGAGGATATTCAGTTCAAGCAAACGTTTATATCATAGGAGCATTATGAGCAGAAGAAAGTGATATATTTCTGCCGTCTGTATATTCAGTTGCAACACCCTGCAGCTCATATGAGGAATTATGGGATAATATTTCAGAACTGTTACTGTCAGCCCTGTCACTGCTCTTCCCGTTATGAAACACTGACATGTCCGCCATGTTTGAGAAACAAAGAAAATCAGACAGTGGAATCAAAATATTTGCCTCTCGCTGCATCCACTTATGTAACTGCCAAACAAAAGGTTTATCTGTGGCCTGATGGGATGCTACAGCTCTGTTGGGGCAGAGTGAGCGGTCCAGTACATGTCAGCAACACCTCTCCAGCCATCCATCTCTTTCTTTCTCTCTCTGCACGTTTCACTTTGACAAATGCACGAGAACAGGCCACCCCTGCACTGCATGAGGCAGGAAGAGGAGGTATGGATTGAGGGAGGGGATTGGATTTGATAGATAAATGTCCGAGGACAACATTAGGGCTCGCCCTCGCTCTTGTTTTTGTAAGTCCATGTAGACTGTACATACGAGTGTGGGTTTGTGCAGGGAGACTGTCGAGCAGACTGTTTTTGTGAGGCTACCACCCAGACAGCTCATCTCAATAGCACATTAATGTTTCATGGGGACTAAAAATATCTGACATTATAATGCTCTATGGGCTTTCTGCGTGATGTCTGTGGCTGCAGCCATTTGTAGAAATCTAACATTTCCAAGCCACACATTCAAGTAAACTTTAACTGACACTTGTTTTTTACTGAACAAAGCAAATAGCTAATTAAATTGTGAGTGAGTTTAATTATGAGATTCATTGGCAATACCAAGAAAATATCCCAACATTGCTTAGAACATAATAATCAGCTTCATTGTGCAGTCACATCCTGAGCAGAGTAGTAGAATGGCCACTCTCCTGACCTGATCGTGACTTCACACCACACGGTGATGTGTTTAAATTCTACGAAATGAAAAAGTGAGTAATTGCAGCATGAGGAACAATGGAGCTTTGTGTTGTTTTGCAAGTCAACAGCGGTGAATGGGATGATGTACAAGCATGCATCTGCTGCCATGTCAGAGAAACAACAGCGTCTTACCTGCAGATTTGGGGGTGAATTTGTCCCTGTTGGCTGCACACACGGCCAGCAACCTGTAGCCCAAGTCCAAGTCGTACCCCTGCTGCGCAGCAACGCGACTCACCACCTGGGAAAAGAACAGCAGATCATGAGAATCGCTGCTGTCCTTCCGGCTCTAATTGGTTCAGCATTATGTAAAGTGTTTTTAATCATTGCATCATTTTAATTACATCATTATGAGCACAAGGTTAAAGCAGTTGCAGCTCTTTTTGAAGTTAAGGGAGAGAGTTTATCTTCAGTAGATTCACATAGTACAACATAAAGTGAGAGATTAACGCACTACCCCCAACAGTCAGTTATTTTCATTGTTTATAGATCTGCTGAAGATTTTCGAGGTCAATTGTTTTGTCTATAAGTGAAAAAATTACTCGTGAATTCAGTTTATTGAATTCAGTTTATTGTAATATATGATAAAACAAAACTAAAACTAGAAAAGCACTCAGAAGAGTGAATAAGCAGGTTGCTGCAAGCTGCACCGAATTTCACACACTCATAAATAATATTTCCCCAAATGTGCCTGTTTTTTTTTCATCTAGATCTTTGAATTATTCCCCAGGAAATGTATGAAAATATCCTGTCCCACAATTTTAAAGAAGGTGATGCATCTGCACCAAAATTGAATGTGGTCATCCCTGAACTGAACCGTACTACCCCCTTCCACAGTGTTTTGTGGAATTATGTCAAGTGGTTTTTGTGTAATGCGGCTAAATATCAAACAGACACACAATCATACAACAATGAAAAAAATAACCTCCTCGGCACAGGTGACAGAAACAATCAAATTTAAGAATTCGAAACTTGACATAATTTGTTTGTAAAATTAATGAAGTTATCAATCAATATTTGCAGATGATATTCTGTGAATCTACAAATCAATTAGTTAACAAGTCTATATTTCTTTAATAAATAACACTTTTTCATAAAATTGGCTCCAGCTTCTCCTGCGACACTCAGAGGATAAGCAATACAGATAATGGATGGATGACTTTCTGATGCAATATCATAAAATATTGATTTCTCAATTGAAGAACAAATGCTAAATAAACAGTGAGCCATAGTTAAGGCATCGTAGTCCTTTCACTTTCTTAACTGTGTTAATATTCTGAGCCACTGCTATCATGAAACTTCATTTATCTTCAGACAGACACGCACACGCACGTACACGCACACGCACACACACACACACACACACTAAGATTAATGTGGAGTCTGTAGTCTGGAGCGCTCCACTGATCCACAGTCAGGACGACTCTGATGACTGCATCAGCCTCCAAGAGAGGTGAGTGAGTCAAACCACAGCCGCTCTGCAGACCGAGCAGAGCCTCTGAAAGGTTATCCTCAAACACGCCCCACTGTGGCCCCGGAGTGAACAGAGTTTGTCTCCTGACCAAAAGGTTGTAGGTTCAATTACACTTGCAGACCATATAAGTGTGGAAATAGCTACAGGGCTAATGTAATTTTCAGCCACACTGGAGTGTAGGGAAGGCAGGAGGAGAAGAAGTCTCAAGGAGAAGTGTCCTCTTTTGCATTTCAGTTTTTGAGAAAGACCAGTCCCCGGCTGTGAGACTTTAACGATGCTTTTTGTGTTAATGACTTCAAAAGGAGGCTGAAGGTTTACGGGACGTGAAGCAGGAACCTCCCGGACTCTAACGTATGTGGTGTAGGAGAGACTGAGTGATGTTAAGCAGGACTCAGAAGAAAGGGGTAAATCATTACAAGGAGGGGAAACCCCTCTGCTTTTATCTGCTAACAGATGACATCTCCTCTGCTCTCGCTGACCTAAAACACACATTAGCGTTAACAAGGTCAGCCAGGGTGGCTTTTAGAGAGCCAGCTACACAGTGATAACGTGCCTCTGTCACAGGTAATAAGGCTGCTAGAGTGCAGAAAGAAACACTATGGAAAATACACTAATAAATAGGGTTTAGTTTAATCAACAGATGGTGATATGAAACTGTACAGTTCCAGAGAATCGCATTATATTTATTTGATTGCAAAGGATGTCATTCCAGGGATTAATTCAACATTTACCCTGTTATGCAAACAATGAGGATTCTGACAAATGCTTAAATCGCGCTGTTGTCGATCGTTTAATTCCTGCGTGACTGAGTCTGCCCGACAGTTTGTGTGAGGCAGACAGCCAGCTACAGAGGCTAACATAGATTCAACATGGATTTGACAGTGTTTTACCTCAAAAGCTGTTTTTGTCTTTCTTAATCTCCCTCTGAGGATGTGCATCCAGGCCCATTTTGCTGTCAATATAAAACTCAGTGCTGCAAGAGGTGCTGAAGAGTTGGGGTTAGGGTTACTGGGCCATTCACATTCTTGTTTGTTTGCTTAAGTAAAGAGAAAAAGCCGCAGTTCTGTAGTTTTTATTTCTGCTTGGCGGTTGAATTGGCTGTATGTGAAAGACAGACAGCCCCTAGTGAGTTACGTGGGTGATTTTTTTAGAAAACTGTGGGACGGGAGACAGACATAATGCGGATGTCTGTGTGCACTGACATCACCCACACTCTTGATACAGGATGCATGAAGAAAGAAGAAAAACCCACAGATTGCCAAGCAGGCAGAGCTAATAGTAGAGCACTGACAGCTTAGTTTGGTGCTTCTTAAACGGGGGGGATGCATCAAGACACTGCAGGGGGGGGGGGGGGGAATGAATGACAAGGGTGAAATGGCACATAAACCATTAAAGAGTTTGATGACGCTGTTGAACCTTTTTTATGCCTATGAATTTGCCAGTGGATCTGTTTTTATTATTTGCTGAGCTTATTGTTAACAAGATAAAATTTTTGGAGAAGGGGACGTGAGCTTTCAGTTTCTAAAGGGGGACAGGGTGGGGGGGCATGACAGATTCTGAGAACATATTGGCTCAGTTATGTCATCTTTTCTTTGCTCAGGAGCTGATACTCCTTCAGGGACTGAAGAATGACCTCCGCGTGTTCGACATGCCAGAGGGAACAGACGTATCGACATGAGAACCGCTTTTAGTTTCACTCCGCTTTGACAAATCTTGTGGGGCTGTGATTCCAAAAGATGCAATGTCATGTTTAAATTTCCCCAGCAAGTTAACAAAATCCTTACGAGAATGGACTTGTTGCACTTCAATGTAATTCTCCCTAGATAAGAAGCTGCTTGCTCTCAGAGTCTGATGAAACAATTTGGCTGATGGAGGCGGCCCCATGCTGTGACGGAGCTCAGTGGTGGGCCCCATTGTATAGCTGTTCATCATCCTTTAAGAGGCTTTTATTGTGATTTACACATTAATGAGCATTTATTTGTTTGCTCACGCTACCACCTCAGCTGGGGACAATGTTCCTTCAGTGTTTCAGAGACTGATCGCAGCGACAAACACGTGGAACTTGCAATGCTCTGCTCCAAAGAAGCCTTGTGTCACTCTATTTGAGTGTGTGTGTGTATGTGTGTGTGTGTGTGTGTGTGTGTGTGTGTGTTTCTCACACCTGGTGCAAGCAAGCTCTCTGGCCCTGTGTCCAAATCGATGCGTGGTAAGTGGTGAACTGAAAGACGTTAGCCAGAGGTGACTAGCTACCCGAGGTCTTGTGCAAGCCTCTTGTTGAGTGTGTGTGTGTAAAGCACAAAGTGTAGAGAAGCAGCGGGCAACAAGGACTTTAACCTGTGTCACTGGCCCCTGACGGCCTGAGCAGCTGCCTTGAATAAACCTTCCCTATACCCTGCTACTAGAGAGCAGAAAAAGGCATAAACAAATGCTGAATGTCAATTTAAATACGACATTAATCTTGTTTAGAATATTACACATTCTGTGATAACCTGCAGTATCTGAAAAGGTGGACAAACGCTTCAAAAGTGGACAAACACGCCCATCGTTTTTTCCCCTGTGTTTTCCAAAGTATCCAAATCTAATTATTGTTTTGCTCCAGCCTCTTAAAAAGTACCTGAAAAACCCAACAAAAACCATAATTGATGTTTGCGTACCGTCAGACATCCCATGAGACTTTGCTCGAAAGGTCGCTGGAAGGCCCGGGGATCTCCACACCAGTCGAGCAGCTCTGTGGCCGCTGAGTGGAAGTTGGCCGGGTTCTGTAAGTGCTGTGCAAACGGAGAGAAAAAGAGACTTCCATTAGAGACAATGGGAAATAATGAGTGTTGTTTTTTTCTTCACATTCAGTACAAATTGGAAAAACACTGAAACCAAATAGTTTTGCAGCCTCGCGCTCTCCCACCAAACTGCCTTGATTTAATGCCTTGTGTTTCAGCACAACCCTGTAAGGACCTTGACTCCTTCCCATGTACGCCCACACCGAGCTCTGCTGTATTGTGGGAAGAAGATCACACCCATATCAACAATGATGCCAGTGTTTCTTGTTAATCTCTCTTGGCAAAACCCAGTCCTCACCCCCATGACCCACACGGCAACCAAATCTTTCCCTCCAATCCTCCTCCTCTCTCTTCCCTCATTCACAGCCTGTTTGCAGAATGTAACAGAGCAGCGGCTCCAGAGGTCCACTGGCTGTGCACAAAGAAAACAACCTTGGTCCTGGCAGCTATGTGTGCAGACTCAATACGTGCCGTTGGTGTGTTGTCTAATCTCTTTCAGCCTCTGTGTCTGTCTCTCTCGCTTGTTCACTGAGGCCTGAAACAGTTGAGTCTTTTCTTCCCAGTGTCTGAAGGCTACTCAAGCTGGCAGGACACAATAAGCGGTTTTAAAATTGGGCTCCTTTTCTTCGCAGCTCAGGAGGTTAATAGCTCTGAAATGGCGCAGAGCTGCAGCTCGTTCAGTCGGCGAGACTGAGTCCACTTGAAAGCATTTATTATTCTCATCTGGAGCTGAAGCATCTTGTTTTGTGTGTTATTGCGGAGAAGGTAGAGCTATTGTCTTTAGGGGGCAGCAGAGGTGAGCGTTTTTAAAAGGGGGCTGCTTTTCTGTGGCTTCTGACAAAAGGGGCTCGTCGGTGCGAACAGAGCCCTTTGCGCCAGGCCTGGTACCCGCCCACAGAGAAAATCTCTGAGAGCTTCCAATGATATCATGAGCGTCAAGAGAGGCCTTGAGTGACTCATCTTTTGTGATGTGAAGATTAGCCATTATGGAGTTAGCTGCAGACTCTCACAGGGGCTCTGACTGGTGATGAAGACAAGCAGGGAGAGTAAGAGAAAGTGAGAGATGCTCTTGTTGAACGAGAGGGAGAAGAGGAGCCTGTTCTATATGAGTGATATAATCTGGCATCATTGCTGCTTGATGGGAGGCGTATCACCCTCCAGCGCGAGAGGAATCAGAACTAGCACAGCAGGGGCTGTCTGTCTAGATCTGAACTCACAGCTCCTCCTGCCGCAGCGCTCGCCACCGACTCTGCCTGACAACCTCGACTCTGATGTGTGTGTGGGGGGGGGGGGGCAGCAGAGCGAAATAGCTCTGTTGAGTTTTGGGAGGAGGATGGAGCCGTTCTTGTTGTTGTTGCTGTTCAGGGTTGGATGAGGACAAGAACGGGGAACGTGGAGGGAGGGAGAAAACTCGGCGGCAGCAGCAATGATGGGGTTTCAGCAGACAAAGAGCCAGACGTCTGACAGACTATCCTCTGTGAGATGATGGACCGACTTATCCCCCTCCCTTTCTCTCAGAGCAGCCAAGGATCAGGCCGCTCAGTGCCTACCTGGCTGCGTGAATAACAGCAGAACACCTGGCTCTCTGCCAGTGGCTTTCCCAAAACCAAAACAACACCCTGCTGGCAGAGCCGCCACGAGCACCAAGCTCGCAGACTGACTCCGTTGCTTTGAAGTCTGCTTTACTACAAGCTCTATTACAGCCAGAGCTGAGAAGTATATAAACCAATCTACAATTAGTGCGTTTATTGAGCTAGATGTTTTAACTCTGGCTATTAAGGGCTCATCAGTGACGCCTGAGAAAGTAATTGAGGAGGCTCTGAGGAGTGAGAAGCGTAGCATTTTATTTGAGTGAGAAGAGCTGACATTTTTGAAATATAACTATGCAAGATTTTGATGTGTAGCACTTTCCTTTGTGCAATCCAAGTAAAAAAAAGAAGGCAACGAGAGCTTTTTGAGGTGAAGGTTAATATATAGGATGCCCAGGAGTTCAGGTGGGAGTGGGGTGGGGATTTAAGAGAAGGCACAGAAGAAAAAGGAATGTGTCACCTCATAATCGTCGGCTCAAAGCCTGAACATTCCCAGTAGGACACGGTGTCATATGGATGTTAAGCGATATTAAGGATCACACCCACGTAGCATAAACAAATAAGCCCACAGCCAGCCAACCAGCCGGTGAGTTTTCATATACTATTAATCACAGACAGAGCCAGTAGCCTTGGGTGATGTTCGTCTGTCTGACTGACTGTGTCTTTCGTTCTGTATCTTGACTGCGAGATGTCTCTCTCCTGAAAGCTGGCAGTCAAGGAAGCTTTTAAGCAAAACCACAACAAGGGCCGGCATACGTCAAGGCTCAGGAACGTGATGTAAGGGAAGGCAGGACGAGGACAAGGAGGAGAAGGAGGGGGAAAAGAGAGAAATGGAGTCTGTTATGTTGCAAGTCTCTTTGAAGTTGCTTGTTCGCTGCCAGATTTGCCTCCTTCTCTCTCCCTCTTTCTCTCTATGACCCGGTGCAACATGATCTGTGTGACTGGAGCTAATGGCCAGAAAAAGTGATGCCCATATAAGGTGCTGAGAGGAGAGAGAGTTTAAGAAAGGAGAGGAAATGCAAAGTAAATTCATATTCTTCTTTGTCTCTAACATCCATGTCTGCATGTTACTGACAGAGGTTAAAGGATGACTATAAGAAGCTACACATGGGTCTTTATACACACCTGTTTGATGCACTGCAGCCTGTCATTGGTCTGCTGGATGTGCCGGTCCATTGATGGTAACGTGTTCATCTTGATGTCTCTACCGGAACGCCATTAAAAGTTCTTTACCCTGTGAAAGAAGAGGAGGAGGAGAAAAGGCACATCTGTTAGAACAGGTTTCTGTCAGGTCACCAATGTGAAGAGTTTGTAGCCTATGAATTTCAAACGGCATTTTAGCAGTTTGACAAATTCTCAAAAAGAGAAGCCAGCTTGTTTATGTGGTGACTCATCCAAGGGCTTGTTCTGCCCGGAGCACATTTTTTTTGGCAAATGCACGAAACTGAGATTTTCCACAGCAGCGCCGCGAAAGACGAATGGAAACATGATGCAACTGAAACTTTTGCTTTACATTAGCTGTGGGAGAAAAATCCCCAAAACACTTGCTGCAACCAAGAAAGGAGGTCCGCTGTTATCGGTCTTTAAAAGAAGCACCAGCTCACGGCAAAGTTATCAGCGTGGCATAGACAACTAATTCATGCCCACATCTAACCACAGATAAGACTCAACTTTATCGCTTCTCTTTCTTCCTGTGCATATCTTGTTCTGGTGGGCAGCAATAAACCCTGTGCTCACCACCACTCTGACCATCTCGGAGAAATGGATTAGGGCTGGATTAATAGGTATCGTGCTGGCCTGCCAGCGCGGCCTCCGTCCCTCTGCGCTCATCTGCATCGGTGTTGGTCGGCCTCAGATTCCTCCGCACAAAAGGCGAACTGAGGAACCACAGGTGGGTGTGAGAGGAGGGGGGGCAGGGCTCTGGAAAGCTGTTCAGTACTGATAAAGGGTCCCCCAAGATCACCCGCTGTGAGAAACAGAGCGAGAGAAGAAATACGATGGAAGCGCAGAGCTCAGCCGGGGAGTTTTCCTGTGTAATGCTCAGTGTGGTAAGCTTATCTTAGAAAGACTATAGCAAATATGCACACTCTTATTTCAGTCTCTTACACACACACACACACACACACACACACACACACACATAAGGGCATATAAACACAAAAGCTTGAATTCTTCACTTTAACTAAGCGTAAAGGTAAAACTTCAAAGACACATTTGGAGAATAGGAGTGTATTACTAATCCTCCAAGCGTATTCATTACCGGAGTAGAATTACCTGGAGTGCACTTACAAAGTCTTAAATATCAGTGGCTACGTTGCTTGTATGGGTGAGGGGAGATTCTGGCTTAAATGTGGTCAAATGGCGGGCAGTAAACGTACAGACGTTATACTGCAGCAGCTGCCTACAAAAATGTACATCATGCAGGGCACACTTTGACTGCACATAATGGGACCACAAATTTGGGTGGCCTCATTCTCTCTGTGCTGCGGTTTCTCCCAGTGTCCAGTAGATGTCTCCCTCTCCTGCAGCTAACCAGCATGTTTCTCACACACACACACACACACACACACACACACACA